TTCTGAGCCCCACCCCTTCCTGAGCCCCTTCCCCTCCTGAATCCCCTTCTCTCTCCCCCTTTTCCTGAGCACCCCTCCCATCTTTCAGTCCCTTCAGAGGGGGTGGCCTGGACAGCCCTTCCCAGAGAGTCCAGATAGAAAGGTGGCCCTGTGGCTGGTGGGGACCTCCCTGCACCTCCTCAGCTGTGGCAGCACCCTCATGTTTTGTGATATGAAGAACGGCCTGAACTTTTGAGGGGTTCCCTGCAGCTAATTACCCAGCAAATATCTGCAAACACCACTGACCTGGGCCCCCGGGTCCTGGGCGAGGCTCCTCATCCCAAACCGTGCTGTCCACACCCCTCCCCGCTTCACATCCCTGCACAGACCTCTCCACCTCACTTCCCAACTAGAAGCCAATCTAGAATTGGGGGGTGGGTAGGAATTCGGACATCACTCATTCAACCATTCATTCATTCATTCATTCATTCATATTATCAACAAACATTTCATGGAGCACCTGCTGTCTGCAAGCCTGTGCTGGGGGCCCAGGGTACAGTCCCACAGTAGGGGGCTCACGGTCCAGTGGGTGATGGGGTCAGAGGAATGTGATGGGGGCACACAGGCAGCTGTGGGGATCCGGGAGCTGGTGGGTCCTGGAAGACTTCCTGCAGAAGGTGTCATCTAAACTGAGGGCTAAAGGCATTAGGGGTTAAGGGAGGCTGTTCCTGGCAGAGAGAACAGCAAGTGCAAAGGCCCTGAGGCAGGAGTCCTGCCTTTGGCTCCAGCTTGGCCATTCCTTTGCTGTGTGATCTGGACAAGTGATCGCCTCTTTCTGAGCCTCAGTTTCACACTCAAGTTAAAGGCCCAACGGGGCACCTGAAACACAGCAGGCACTCCGTCGGTACCTGCCAGATGTGGGTGAAAAGTTGAGGTTCTAGACGACTGTCACGAAACAGAAGGCTCCTGGTCCCTGCCTGGGGTGCGCAGGTTGGGGCAGCTCATGACCTTTTCCTGGCCAAGGTGCCCCTTCCCCGGCCCCTCTCCCCTCGGCCCACCAGCCCTCCACCAGCTGTCCTTCCATGTTTGCGCCGGTCTGTCAAGAGCAGGCGCCTGTTCCGGAACACCTGATGCCCTGCTTCCCAGGGATTTCAGAGGAGTAGATGCGCGGAAGTTCAGCTGCCGCACGGGCTTAACCCTGGAGCCTGGGCGCCGGGTCCTCAGAGGCCCAGTGCTGGCCCTCTTGACCCCACAGAGAACCTGGCACTGCTCCCAACCTTTGCTGGAAAGACCCCACTTCGACTCCCAGCACTGGCCTCGCCTCGAGGTGTGGCCTGGGGAAAGCCCGTCCACCTCTCTAGTCACCCTCACAGCCAATAACGATGAGAGCCAACACACCCTCAGTGCGTGCATGTGCCCGGGGCCATGTTTAGAGTCTTTCTATCAGTAAACTCTGTCTTCGAGCAGGATTCTGAGTTTCACAAGAAGTGGAAACTGAGGCACAGAGCGAGGCTGTATGACTCACAGGGTGAATCATCCAATCAATATTAACAGAAATAATCTATTGTGTGCCTTCTTTATATGGATCAGCTCATTAAATTCTCCCCAAAACCAAATGAGGTTGTGGGGACCGCTAATAGAGGTCTCTTGTTATAGACGTGGAGACTGAGGCCCAGAGAGGCGAAGCAATCAGCCCCAGGTCACAACGCTGTACAAGAGGGACCCCTGGGAGCACTCCCTGAATAGGACCGCTATTATGACGGCTGCTGTTGCGTTATTATTTTTCTACCTGCTAAGAAAACTTACCTAAAACGTGGGAATGTCAACCGAGGCCAGCTCCCTCCCTGCCCTCCCCAGCCCGGGAACTAGTCACCGAGCACCAGGCTCTGCACACCCAGGCACCTCCCGCCCAGCTCCAAGGAGCAGCGAGGAGGAGCAGCTCTGAGAACCTGTCTTCCTCCCATGACGGCAGAGAACCAGGTCAGCCAACCGCTGGGACATCAAAGGGAATCTATAAATACAGCCGCAGGAGGAAAAATAGACACTTTGCTAGCTCTTCTCAGCCTTGCCTCTCTCCCACTCCGAATCGTTCCTGGCGAGGTGCCCACCCCAGGAGTTGCTGGGTCAGAGCCCCCAGCCCCAGGACCCCCTACGGGAAAACGGTGGAGGGAAGCAACTGACAGAGCCTCAGTTTCCCCCCAGGAGCTCAACTTCTGCCCTTGCCTCCTCCTGCCAGATGTGTAAGGAAAGAGGGGCGTCGCCGGGACTGTCCCCGGGAGGTGCAGATGAGATTTTAAGGCCAGAGGTGAAGCTTACTGGTTTGATCCCCAAACTCTGGAATCTTCCTTCTTTCTTTCAGGGAAGATATAGGACTTCGACATTGTGTTGGGAGCTGGGAAGCTGGGAGGACCAAGGCAGACAGTTCAGACTTAGTCAGGGTGGTCAGGAAGGCTTCCTGGAGGAGGTGATATGCGCTGAGACCAGGGAGGATGGGGAAGATAGGAAGTAAAGAGCCAGGCTGGGGAGGAGGCTGAGGGGAAGAAGTTCCAGTCCTTCTGGGTTCTTCCCTCTTCCTCATTCCCCAAGTCCTGTGCCTCCAAAATGCCTCTCAAATCCTTCTATCACTTTCCACGTCCACAGCCCGTCCCTGCTCCGGGGTCCCATGCTGCTCCCTGAGTCTAAGGCAGTCATCTTCTCCTGGTCCCCCTGAGCCACTGCTGTCCAGGGTGCATCCTTCTCCACAAGACAGCCAGAGGGATCTTTTTGTTTTTTTAATATATTTTATTGATTTTTTACAGAGAGGAAGGGAGAGGGATAGAGAGTTAGAAACATCGATGAGAGAGAAACATCGATCAGCTGCCTCCTACGCACCCCCTACTGGGGATGTGCCCACAACCAAGGTACATGCCCTTGACCGGAATCGAACCTGGGACCCTTCAGTCCGCAGGCCGACTCTCTATCCACTGAGCCAAACCGGTTAGGGCCAGAGGGATCTTTTTAAAAGTTCAATCAGTCCCACTGGCTCCCCATAAACGCTCCCATAACCAGCTCAGTCTCGGTCACTGCTGTGTTCCCAGCAGTGCCTAGAGCCTGTACACAGTAGGTGCTCAATAAAGTTAGCTGAATAAATAGGCCGATGAGGGTCAAGGCCCACGGGCTCGGTTCTACTTCCTGAAGACATTGGAGGTTTGGTAGCTGGAGCCGAGCTGGTCCCAGGAAGGGCCAAAAGGGTACAAGGAGCATGGGTGTGGAGTTCCTGAGCTCAGCACCTGCCGACAGCACCGCCACCCACTGACGTCAGCATCACTTGAGTAGCTAACCCTGGTGGCAGTGATGGAACCGCCACTGGCTGAGGTCATTCACACCCCCCTCCACTGTCACCATCTGGTTTTTCCTCCAAACAGTTTTCCTTTAAAAAAAAAAATCATGGTAAACTATACATAATAATACTTACTGTTTTGGCCATTTGTAATGTACATCTCAGTGGCATTGATTGAGTAGCTAACCCTGGTGGCAGTGATGGAACCGCTACTGGCTGAGGTCATTCACACCCCCCTCCACTGTCATCATCTGGTTTTTCCTCCAAACAGTTTTTCTTTAAAAAAAAAAATATCATGGTAAACTATACATAATAATACTTATTGTTTTGGCCATTTGTAATGTACATCTCAGTGGCATTGAACACATTCACATGATTGTACAATCATCCCTACCGTCTGCCTCCAGAACTTTCTTATTTTCCCAAACTGGAACTCTGTCCCCATTAAACACTAACTCCCCAGCACCCCCCCACACACACACACACACATACACACACACTCCCCATTAAACACTAACTCCCCAGCACCCCCCCCCCACACACACACACACACAGCCCCTGGCTCCCACCATCTACTTCCTGTCTCTGTGCATCTGACTCCTCTAGGGACCTCCTGTGAGTGGGATCACACAGTATTTGTCCTTCTGTGTCTGGCTTATGTCACTGAGCACAATGTCCTCAAGGTTCATCTATGTTGTAGCAGGTGTCAGAACTTCCTTCCTCTTTAAGGCTGAGTAATATTCCCCTGTCTGGACGGACCACATTGTGTTTATCATCCGTGACATTTGGGTTGTTCCCCCTTCTGGCCATTGTACTTATGCTGGTATGAACACAGGTGTGCAAAAACCTGTTCCTGACATACAGGTGTCTGTTCTGTCTTTTTTTTCCCCTCTGTAGACAATGCCCTGAACAATGTCAAGGGCATCAAAGCTCCTCACAACTTCCAAGGAAAGAGTTAAGAGGAAGAAATGTGGAGTTTTAGGACCTCAAAGGAAATGAGAAGGAAACCCATCTTTGTGAAGCACCTACTATGTGCCAGGCCCTGGCATCTTTTGAAACATCCTCACATTAAACAACTTGCTCACGGCTGGGAAGTGGCAAAGCCAAGGTTTGGACCCCAGCCCGCAGCGGGCACACCTATTCCACCGCCTGCTGGCTTGCCTCTAAGGGGGCGCAGCTCACCACTCCATCACTGATTCAAGAATGAATTAATACGATGATCTTAGAAGAAAAATACTGGGTGACGAAGAGCTGCCCTGATGGAGAAAGTGACATTGGCCAAGCACAGCAAGGATCCTCCCAAGCAGAGGGAGCAGCCGTGCGAAGGCCCTCAGGCTGGACTGTGCCTGACTTACTGGAGGAATGGCCAGGAGGGGCAGGTCGATGTGGCTGAAGCAGAGTGAGGGTGAAAGGGTGGGAGGGGGTTGGCCCTGAGAGGGCTTCTGGATGAAGGGGGCACAGGACAGGGTCATACACGCACCAAGACAGAACTCCCATATGGCCTCCCCGTGGTTACCACTGCCCTCCCGCCTCCATTCATGCTCAGGTCCCTGAGATTTCTGGATAACAAACATTTATTGAGTACCTACTGTGTGCCAGGGTTGTTCTGGGCCAGGAGTGGGGAACCTTTTTTTCTGCCAAGAGCCATTTGGATATTTATAACCTCATTCACGGGCGATGCAAAATTATCAACTTAAAAATTAGCCTGCTCTATTTGGTCAAACATTTAATTAACTCACCCCTAATGCCTTGGCAGGCCAGACCAAATGAGTCCTCAGACCTTAAGCGACCCATGGACCAGACGTCCCCCACTCCTGTTCTAGGCAATGGGAATCCAGCAGGGGACAAATGGTGCTGTGGGAGAGGCAATCTGCAATGCTTGGCTGTGAAAAGAAAATGAAGAAAAACAGAGCAGGATGAGAGGAAAGAAAGGACAGGGTGTTGCTATAGATGCAGAGGTCAGGGTAGCCTCCCTGCAGAGTGACATTTGAGCTGAGACTTAGAGGAAAAGAGGGGCCATATAGAAATCTGTGGGGAGCCCTAACCGGTTTGGCTCAGTGGACAGAGCGTCAGCCTGCAGACTCAAGGGTCCCAGGTTCGATTCCGGTCAAGGGCATGTACCTTGGTTGTGGGCACATCCCCAGTAGGGGGTGTGCAGGAGGCAGCTGATCAATGTTTCTCTCTCATCAATGTTTCTAACTCTCTATCCCTCTCCCTTCCTCTCTGTAAAAAAAATCAATAAAATATATTTTAAAAAATAAAAATACAAATAAAAATCATCATTCTCCCCTTTAAAAAAAAAAGAAAAGAAAAAAAGAAATCTGTAGGGAGAGCATTGCAGGCAGAGAAAATGGCAAGTGCAAAGGCCCTGGGGCAGGTACAGAGTTACACATTCAGAGACACCATCAGACCCTTAACAGCTGTACCTCCAACACTTCCGAGTGATGCTTTCTCCTTCCCGAAGTCCCCCTGGAGCTCCTCAGAGCTTCCAGATGGGTCGCCGAGCACTCAGCCCAGGTCCCAAGTCATTTGCCTGAAGAGCCTTCCCAGCTAAGGGTCCCAGAGCCCATGGAGACATGGAGACATGTGGGCTTACAAATCCAGTCCCAGTTCCTGGCTATGTGAGTGGCCAAGCCTTTTCTCTCTGGGCCTCAGTTTCCACGCCTGAAAATGGGATCATAACAGTAGCTTTGTTCTGGAGTCGCGGGGCTGCATTCAGTAGCTGCTCGATAAATGTCAGCTCATCCTTCTAACGATTACTATATGCACAAGACGGGCCATGTTCTGGCAACAGGCCCACGGTACCGTGTAGTCTCTGGAACGGTCCACACCCTCTCTGGGCACCAGTTACACCGAAATCCTCCAGGAGGGTATTTGAACTTGGAAAAGCGTCCAAGAGAGAGCCCCCCTCCCCTGCAAGAAAGCAAGGGTTAAAGGGCAGGGGCGGGAAAGGGTAAGGACCATGACGCAC